GAGTTTCTCTAAGTAGCTACCCAGAGCCTACACCGATGTATGAGCCTGCTCGACACTCCACAGGGGAATGGATGTAACCATGTAAGTATGTACTCATTAGCATTTCATGTGTATTATAAGACCTTAATATTATGTAAAAATGTGTTTATTTCATAAAAATTAAGTGTTTGAAACTAATTTAAGTGACTTTCGCCTCAAGTCAAGCCTTTTTTTTCCCTCAAATTTAAATTTATTCTTGTATAAATTGATGTTAACCTAATAAATATGTTGAATTAATAAATTATTTAACATATCTTTATAAATTAATGGATTGCATTTGTGTTTCTATGCGTTTCCATATTTTTTCTACGTTTCCGAAATGTTTCCGAAACGTTTCTATTTTTGAGTTGACCGAAACGGTACTTCGAAACGAAATTTTGATCCTTGACTGTGGGTCCAATATTTTGTATTTTATTAATAGGCTCAAGTGAATTGTTTTCTTCCACTTTGACCAATGATTTATGTGTCGGTAATCATATATTGTGCATGGTTTAAGATCATCACCATTTTAAATTTCAATAGCTACTATATCATTAATGATCATTTTTGTGCAATCACACACCTCATCTATGTATGCATACTTAATAGAAATTTATATATTTGCAAATATCAATATCTCTTCAGGGATTATTATTTAAGATGATGTGAGTGCATTTTCATTTTTTACTTCAATAACTTGTTCTTAAGTCGTATGTAGTTGCTCTTCAGGAGCTGAATTTTTTGAACCTATGTATACACTTCAAGCATGTAAGAAAGTTCAAGTCGTTCTTCAAGCGACAGATTTCATCCCCTTAAAAACGGGAAAATTGTCTAATTTTTCTTTTGTACGTACATACTTCTTCAGATCTCATTATTTTTAAGTACGTTTACTTCTACAGGAAATGTCTCTTTAGACGATTTCTCTTCAGGAAATTTTAATTTACTAATTTTGAACTGATTAATATTTATATTGCCTATTTTGTGGGTGTGGTCTCTTTAGGGGTGTCAACTTTTTTGTGCAACTTTCATTATATATTTTTCTTTGGCCTCTTCGAGAGTACCAACTTCCTTTGAAAGAATTAACTTTCGCCGTATTTTTCATTAATTGTTTTCCTTCTAGGGAATCTTGTCTATTGCTATGACAAGTCTTTTACGCTTCTAGCATAGTTAAGATAAATTCATTCTATAATATTTTGTAAGCAAAATAAAAAAAAATATTTATCTCAACTATATAATAAATCACATGGGAAGTTGAATTTTATTCTCTACATATTCCCCCCTCCAATTTCATCACATCACTCATCTTATCACATGTTCAATTATTTAATATTTAATTAATTTATTTATTTAACATAATTTTTATTTTAGATATTATTTATATACGATAATATACATATGTTGAGAAAATTTTATTAGATTACGTATTTTGAGAAAATTTTATTAATATTTTTAAGAAAATAATGAGTAAAAATCAGTTTTAAATAATATAATCAAATAAATGAAGAGAACAAATTGTTATTTAATGTAGTGTCATCGATTTTTTAGTCACTCGAATTTTATTTTTCTTTGTGCCTTCAAGCACAGAATATGACTAGTATATTCGTATGTTATACAAGAATAATAATCTTAACTCTTTAATAAGATCCAATGTATTGTAAAAACTCTATTGAATTATTGAATGCTAGAAATTGTCAAATTAAAAATGCAAATGAAATGTAACACTAGCATAAATTTTACATAATTTAGACTAAAAGTATTGTTTCAAATAGAGTTTCAAAAACAAGTTACATCTTCTAACTGTTATTCTCTGATAGTATTAACTTGAGTTACTAAGACATGAAACAATGTTCAACTTAACTAAACAAATTTTACAAAACTCACATGAAATAACTAATAGTTATAAACGAGTCAATGAAGTTTCAGAGAATCATCAATCACACATATATATTTGACCTATAGAAATATATATCAACATCGTTATATTCAAAATCACATATTTATATTCAGCAATTATAATCAGGATATATCAACCTTAGACTTGTAAATACAATCAAAAATATTTTTTTTCAACAGTCAAGGTGTTTGGACTAATTTACACGTACCTTAATTAATTTTTTCTCCAATCTGGTCGAAGACAAGTCATTCATACCAGAATTAAGGTATTCATAAAAAAAAAATCTCTTATGACTTGACTCTAAGAAATTATCAAAGATTTAAACTTGAAATATTTGGATTTACAACTCGTCTCTGTTACTACTTAAACTACCAATTGATTAGGGTACATGAATAATGGTTGGATTAAAATGCTCTTTAGCGAATATATTCTCTTATTTTTGACTGACGATAAAATTAGGGCTAAAATGCCGGAATCAAGGTTGAGTGCCTATGCTTATTGTGAAAGAGGCTCTTGCTAAGATAAAAAAAATATTGTCAAATAATGTTTTTCTTCGATTCTTTGGCAGAGGTAAGGCAGATGCCTAATCCAGAATATATTCTTCACAAAAGTTCTGCACAGCAGAACCACCCCCTTATCTTCTCTGGCACGAACGAATCAGTTCCCACCCACACCTCTAGCCCAATTAACCAAAGAAGCAAAAACTTTTTTGGGCAGATAAAGTAAATTTGCTAAAAAAAAACGGAGCATAAGAGAACTACAATGGAAACTAAATAATCAGTGAACCTTTATTTATTAATGGAAGTAGAAAAATCGTGCAAATATCATAGTAACTTAGTGGTCTCACCGTTGCAATGAATATTTTTTCGTCAATATGCTGAGACAGCCAACCCTAAGTATCTCTAATCTCTCCCTGCAACGCATCCTCTGAAAAAGCTACCAAATGACTTCTGTTAACTCTGAGAATGTGAAATTTCCATGAAAATAGCTACTCTCTGTTCCATCTAACTTCAAAATCTTCGACGGAACCTGCAAAATCTGCTAATTTTTTGGCACTTGATATATAATACTGATTTGTATAAACTCCAATGGCATTATAGTGAAAATATTATGGATTTTATATGTTTACAAGGCAGTACCTGAACCTATAGTATTAGCCGATCAGGTTATGGCAAGTAGTGTCGCAAGGATAAGCACAGTCAATCTCCTTAGTCACCCTTCTTCCGAAATACCAATCACCAACTGCTTCTGCAATGGTCTAGAAGAAATTGTATGGTTATAACTCAAGATGGATACTTTATAAGACTTTCAGTCTTGACAAACATTGGCAAATTCACCATATAGAAGGGTGCATAATTATTCACATTCTTCACCGTAGTGTTGGAGTTTTATGCAAAAAACTCTAGAGAGTCATACATTTCACCCTAAACATGGCATGCTCTGCATAAGTTGATCAATTTGATTCATCTCAAATTCAAGTATAAGACTTAAACTCGCACACAATGATGGCATGAACACATCAGGTCAATCAGATCAGGATCCTACTTAAAGAAAAACTGCTAGTGGCCGACAAATGGACCTAAGCCAGATTGATTCCACCAATAACTAGTGTGGAATTTACCATTCATTTTGTTAAAAAGTAACGTCTACGTTCCACTCATTAGATTTCCAAGGCATTTCCATCGAGCTTTTATGACTGGATTTGGTCATAGCTTACTTCACTATGATTTGAACGAGACAATATACTTAACACAAATATATAATTTGTACAGATTCAGAACTCAGACTGATCTTTGGATAAGTTTTGGTTTCTTATTTTTTGGAATTTAGCCAATCGAGTGAGTGAATACCAAATAGCATAGCAGAATGAACGGAAAATCATTGGCACTACAGTGTCTAACTGGGCAAAGAGGATGTTTATAAACCTTATTGTGTACCCTCGGGGAATCAGCTGCAAACCATGTGTCTTGTGACTCACTTTGGCAATGAGCAAAACAAGAATTGATAAACATCCCACCTCTCCTTGAAAATTCAAAGAAAAAACTCAAAGCTGCAAGCATATATTTCCTGAATCCTGAAAAACAAAATTCTAGTAAACTGATATAGTATCAACGATTATAGATATTCAAACATCATGCTTTATGATTTATTATTTCTTACGGACACATTCATTTTCATTCATTCGTTCGGATCTCAACCAAAGGCTATAAGAAGGGATCAACTGTTCCTCGAATAAATGAATTTGGTATATGAATGTTGTGACAAGGAATCGGAAGAAAGAAGATTATCTGCTTCAAAAAGAAGGTAGGGATCAAAAACAACCTTGCAAAATATTTATCTGGTTTGTGCTACATGCTGCTGGATTAAGCTTGCAGTGATACCAATGTCCAAGCGGATCAGCATTAGGTGGCACCAATATGTGATGAAACTGTTGACACAAACGTTGCAGCCACTTCTCACCATTGCATCACCAGAACAAGAAAATTGCATGACATGTGCCTTCAAAATTTCAAACTAATGAATTGAAAGATCTTACTTGGTACACATCATATGCTGAGTTCAAGATGAAAAACGGTGTTCTGATGTATGGCAATGCATACTGTGGGAAGAAGCACTGAACAAAACTCGGAAATGGTCAGAATCATGCTTGAAGTTAAGAATTGTTGAATCAAAAATCAGCAGGAGTGCAACTCATACTTGATCTGGATAGTAACAAGAAGTCGTGCAGTTTTTATCCAGATTCTGCTGTACGCCCTGCAAGAGTTGTATTCTCATGCATGATATGGTTAGAAACATTGAATACATCAGAGGGTTGTTCATCCGAGTTTAAGAGCTTCTATGGACATGTAAGGTGCCGTATTTTTTTTCTCTTCTGATCCCAGAAAGGGAAAGCATTAGGAAAACAACTAATAAATAAAGGGCATGGATCCCCATGTCTTGAAATAATTAAATTTGAATATATGCTTATCTAGAAATCTACACAGAAAACTTGTAAATGAGTGGCTGGTGGCTGTATGACAATGATATTATCCAACTTTTTGATCGAAGAAAATCTGAATGGTATATACGCTATTTGGAGTTTTGGACTAAAAGCAGTCTGCATACAGTGAAAGGTGTACCTGTAGAGAAATAAGGTCTTCATAGAAAGACCTTATAGTGTGGTTCAAACTTATGTCTCTTCTGCAGTGACAAAAATAAAATTTAACATTTGAAGGGGAAAATAAATATGCAATCTAACATTGGATTTGAAGAATTAATAACTCACACTTCCAAGAAAAATCCAGCATCACTCAAGCATTTCACACTTGTATTCCTTGGTAGATATCCAGTGAAGTTGTCACAGTGCAAAAAGGATGCCAAGCCGCCGGCAGAACACCCCGAAAGCAAAGCCTACAGGAACAAATGCAATGAAAGACCTGTTAAGCACACTTGAAAGGCATGGGATCCTGGAACTTTCATAGTCTTTCATAAGAAGGCCTCGTATTTTTCTTCCGGGAAGCAAGCTCATGTACTCACTCACTATAACCCGATACATATTCTGCTTTTGTATAGAAAAAGAGGCATTTCAGTAAAAGAAAGTGGCAATCCTGATGGTGATTTTGTTTGTTCAATACTCAACATTAGATTATGAGCCTATATCAATATATCATCCAATATTCCAACTTGAAGACATTCAACAGCACCTGTCAAATAAAAATCAGAAAGGATGTCAACATGAAACTACGAGATCAGTAGACTTAGACATCCTAGTTGTTTTCCATGTGACTAGTGAGTCGGTCACAAATCAGGGATCTAGGATATATATGGCACATACATGGAACCTTGTGATTCCATTGATTCAAAATCTAACAAAAAAAGACAAATAAATCACACAAGGAATGTGTTCTACCTTTTTCGCATTTCCCAGACCTTTCCGGAGAAGATCAAAAATAATTGCTTGCCAAATCCTTTGACCTCTGAAATAAAGTAATGATGTCTGTAGTTTATTTCAAATAAGAAAAACCTTGGTTAATAGTATGCACACCAACTGTGATAAGATTAATCATATGGCTCCATCTCCAAGGGCCATGATGAGAGAGCACCACTATTAAAGTGATGCCAACAAGATAATTTGTAAATTAGTCTTCTGTTTTTTTGGTAGAAGAACTGAATATACCTACATAGTTTGAGAACCTATTGTACAAAAACAAAAGATCCTGAGTTCAAATGTCCCTTCAGAAATTTGTCTATAGTGCATGTGGGGCGATGGGATTGCGTGTGCTAGGGAGATTGATGGATCCTCTAAGAGGCACAATACCTCTTCCTTGGTACGAAGAGGGGGATTCAGTATGCATCATGGTTTCTTTAGTGTGCCATTTAAGCAAGAATAGGTTGCGAAATTCTGTTTCAAACAAATTACAGGATTTACTTAAACATATTTAGATGGGAAGGGTCCTCTCCACGTCAAAGTTAACCAAGGAAAAGGGTTTGAAGAAATTGTTAAGAGTATTAGAAGGTTAAAGATGGCTAGTTAATTAAACACCCTGCACCTTATTATATGCTTTTAAGGGCTGTCGAAGTAGCCAAATACACCCCCGTGATTCCTCCTTGGTCCTTGCCAAGGCCAATTAGCTATCCTATCTTATTTAAATTGGAATTTAGTTAAGGGACATACTCTGTTCCATGATTACCTATGAATTCACATGGTAAATTGAACGTTTTATCATATTACCTGAGTAACAAGTTTTCAAAGACTTAAAAAAAAAAAAAAATGAAGTTTTTAATGCATGTGTTAGGCATACTCTCTTCTCCATATATTTTGATCAGACAAAGAAGCCCTCATTGAAATCAATTGGTCCAAATCGTCAAATCAATATGTTTCCACCAACCCTTTTTAGTTTTTACATAAGAGTAATGTTACATAGACTTAAAAATTAGACTTGATAATCTCAATCATTGATTAGACTTGATAATCTCAATCATTGAATAGGTAGTGGGTTCCAAAATAACATGCCAACACTTCAATATGTTTCTTCTAGCTGAGATGGGATATCTAATCTACCGGTGTGTCTGGCTTCATCCCTTCATCTGGTTTCTCCTCCGGTCCGAGCCACCTAGATTAGGGACTTACGACTATGCTATTATGGCATTCACTGTGTGGGAAGGATAGAAGATTGGTGTTCAAACATCTAACTATTTCCCCTTCCCCCACCACCCATCCGAATAAAGGGCTACAATGTTTGCCTTTTTAGCACCATGAAAAAGAAGGCAGCAATGCCGGGAATATTGACAACAATTAATGAACATTTTGGACGGTAACCCTGTGTCTAAAAGCATATTATAAATGTATGGCGGTGGTGAGCTTTCTTTGAATGCCAGACTGGTGAGATAGCTAGCAACCCTGAACTCCAAGGTTTCATTCTACTTCTATGGGTTTTTTGCACTTTTACTCGTAAACTTATATATATAATGTCTTTGATATTGTTACAGTTTATCAAAATAAATTAGTCAGAGAATCAAAACTGGTGCATTTATAAATCAAATCAAGTCTATGTAACAGATCAATCAACTTTCAACCATTAACATTATAGCTAGCCATGTGTATTTGCTAGAAAAAATCATGGATTACCATTCCTACGAATCATTATGTAACAATAAAGTGACTGTGTGGAAAATGTAAGGGACATAGGTTTGTGAGAGACTTACCCCATTGTCAAACTTCGCATCACCCGCAAATGAGGCTCCATCACAATATCTAAGCTTCACGCGGTTCCAGTTGTAAAAATCTGGTCAATTTAATTGAACTAAATTAAATTTGTTCAAAGAGATGANCATATATTTTGATCAGACAAAGAAGCCCTCATTGAAATCAATTGGTCCAAATCGTCAAATCAATATGTTTCCACCAACCCTTTTTAGTTTTTACATAAGAGTAATGTTACATAGACTTAAAAATTAGACTTGATAATCTCAATCATTGATTAGACTTGATAATCTCAATCATTGAATAGGTAGTGGGTTCCAAAATAACATGCCAACACTTCAATATGTTTCTTCTAGCTGAGATGGGATATCTAATCTACCGGTGTGTCTGGCTTCATCCCTTCATCTGGTTTCTCCTCCGGTCCGAGCCACCTAGATTAGGGACTTACGACTATGCTATTATGGCATTCACTGTGTGGGAAGGATAGAAGATTGGTGTTCAAACATCTAACTATTTCCCCTTCCCCCACCACCCATCCGAATAAAGGGCTACAATGTTTGCCTTTTTAGCACCATGAAAAAGAAGGCAGCAATGCCGGGAATATTGACAACAATTAATGAACATTTTGGACGGTAACCCTGTGTCTAAAAGCATATTATAAATGTATGGCGGTGGTGAGCTTTCTTTGAATGCCAGACTGGTGAGATAGCTAGCAACCCTGAACTCCAAGGTTTCATTCTACTTCTATGGGTTTTTTGCACTTTTACTCGTAAACTTATATATATAATGTCTTTGATATTGTTACAGTTTATCAAAATAAATTAGTCAGAGAATCAAAACTGGTGCATTTATAAATCAAATCAAGTCTATGTAACAGATCAATCAACTTTCAACCATTAACATTATAGCTAGCCATGTGTATTTGCTAGAAAAAATCATGGATTACCATTCCTACGAATCATTATGTAACAATAAAGTGACTGTGTGGAAAATGTAAGGGACATAGGTTTGTGAGAGACTTACCCCATTGTCAAACTTCGCATCACCCGCAAATGAGGCTCCATCACAATATCTAAGCTTCACGCGGTTCCAGTTGTAAAAATCTGGTCAATTTAATTGAACTAAATTAAATTTGTTCAAAGAGATGATTATTCAAATATCTTAAAATAGACAACCTAAAAAACGTTTCATATCTCATATTACCTAACTAGCAACCGTGTTGGCTACTAATAAAATTAGTTATCTTATGGAATGGAGTACAAGAGCTTGGCATTTATGATCTGGGTTTAAGTAGTTTTTATGCCGTTTGGTCTCTATTTCTATTATCTTTTACATTACACAATGTCAGACTTGGGCTCAAATAAAATAACCTAAACATGTGACCAAGGTCAGTGGCTGCATGGGTTGAGCGATGCATGCATATGTAGTGTCTTCATCGCTGTCATGTTCCGGATGGAGTCGGTGCCCTTATTTACGAAGCATAGAGGCAGATAGGATTCTACTGAGTGATTATGAAGATGGGTAAGGCAACGGCGTCAACTTCGATATCATACCTTTATTAATCTCAATGATTGAACTCATCTGCAACTATTAATTGAAAAAATTAGAAGTCATATACACATGGTAATTTTTTATTAGTTAAAAAGTTGTAAAACGGTGCTGAAAAGTGTTTTTGGGTACCTTAATGGGACCATGAAGGTACCATTTTCAGAGAAAGGAAAACCTCACTGGCTAGCATGGCAAGTGAGGGGTAGAAGTGAAAGGTAGAAAGCAGAAACAAAGCAATAGCTGGCTGCTTTGGCGTCAGCCATTAATCACGTGAAAATGACAGTACAGAATGTGAGGAGCGTGGACTTGCAATACATTTATACCACCACCACGAGAAGTACCATTTCTGGCCATAAGAACATGTTACAGGAAAAAGACACAGATCGAGGACATAAATGTTTTTTTTTTTCCTGGAAAGTAGAAGACATTAATGTTGGCCAAACCATAGGAGTCAAATTGCACTGCGATATTTGATCTAAATCCTCTCTAATACACTATTATTTATATTTTTTCTTCATACATCATTTATTATTAACAAGTGAGGGAACCACGCTTGTATATTATAGATCACAATTGAATGCATGGTACATGGTGTGACGATAAAAAAATTGAAGAAAAAATATATTAAAAAGTATCTCATTCCCTTATTCTAAACATCATAATGAAATTTGAAAACTGATGCTCTCGCTGGACAATACACCCTTGGCCAAAACTAATTAATTGACCATAGCATATATATATACGTACCAGGATTCAGAGAAGCATTGTTGCTAAGGATTCCCGAGAACACCTCCCACTTGTTCATGTAACTTGTTGATCCTCGACGGGTTTGGGCTCTTTCCAAGCATGATTTAATATCATTGCACCACCCCCCTCCCTAATAAAATGTTCATGATTTAGTAATTGTAAATCTTAAAATGACTTATCTATAACTATTAATCCTAAAATAAAGACATATATAAATCCATATATTAAGATGTCAATACTACCCTGTTTCTCCTCAAATAATAATTCAATTCCCTATTTAACCATATTCAACGATATATTTAATAGCCACACGATTAACCACTCATTTGTTTGTGCATGGCTGACAGCCCGCTAGTGTTAATTGAAGGAAAATTCTCCAAGAAGCAACCAGTGGATTATACCAATGACATGTGCTAAATCTCAACCCCCCCTCTCTCTCTCTCCCTCCTTAGAAAACAGAAACCCCGTGAACAAAGTAACAAGCGAAAAAGACAATCGATAAAGGAATCCGTGCGTGATAACTCATGGCTAATAATATAATGCATAAAGTGAGATATGATTTTTTTCTTCTCTTCAAATTTCTCTGAGACCAGTTAAATGTTGTTCAAGTTCAATTAATGGAATCACAGATGATAGAAGGATTGAATTTTTTTTTTTTGAACTACAAGGATTGAAAGTTGAAATTGATAATTTATTGATTAGTTCTGCAAAATGATTGAAACTGATAGCTAATGAAGTTCAAAGTATGGTATTTTTTTTGGTATCATATCTCTTATATTCTACCAATCAAAACATGACACCTATAAACTGTATAATATTTTATTATTTTTAAGATAAAAAATTACAAATAAACCAACACAAAACCTACTGAGACCATCCTTTTATCCAAAATTCAGATGAGGCGAGCAAGACTTGCATGTGGATGCAAGCAGGCCCACCAAACCCCAAAGATGGCTTTCTCCAACTTTTTTGCCCTTTGTACCCCAGAAAAGGCCAAAGAATTACCTCAAACTGCAAAAGCCAGTTGTGTTCTCCGGCGCCAAATCCTCTGTGGAGATGATAAGCAGGCAAACTTCCATCCAAGCAATCTACAAAGATTCACCCACAAAAAAATTACATGAAAAAAATAAATATATTATAGATGAAAGAAATCTTATATGAAACTTTGAAATGACTCATAATTTCCATTAAAAGGCTTACAAGCTCCGAGAGACGAAGCCTCTTGAACTAGAGTCATTTTCACTAGAAGCCGTTCCGGCTCCTCCGACTCCGAATAAATGAATGACGGTCCCAACGTTAGCGCAAACATGCTTAACGCAGCTATCAGATTCATATTGTTCTCGTCGGAACTATTACTATAGCTCTCACTCAAATGAAGAGACTCTGTTCTGTATTGCTCTTACTGATTCAAAGGGGAGGAGAGAGGTATTCATGAAGATTCCAACCGATTTTCAAGAGAACATAAGAAACTATGAATTTGAAAGAAAAAAAAATGGAAGATAAAGGAGTTCGCTCTCGGAAAGTTTTCTTCAAAATCTTCTCGAGATATTATAGCTGATTGAATCCCAATGCAAGGAATGCTGGATTTTGCACTGTTTTTACGTATGAACCAACAAATCCCGGAGATTAGCCTCGTATTAAAGAAATGAAATGCGTAGAAAGTCGAATCGAGATTACAATTCAAGCATGAAATTAACAAATCAAAGAGATGGCAATCGAATCAAGAATAACAAATTCCAGATTTGCAGTTGATAAAGAAAATAACGAATAAAAAAAGTTTCTCAAAAGGAATAAGAAGAAAATTTAATCGCTTTGCAAAAATTACAAGAAACAGTGAAGTTTCAAGAACTTCCAATGCTAAATTTTCCCCGCGCGCGCGCGAAAAAGAGAGAGAGTTGTGACTTGGAGGAAAGAGATAAGTTAGAATAGAACAGGCCTGCTGCCATTAAAGGCACGGAGTAAGTAACGGTGAGTTTGAGTGCAAGAGTGTGACATACAATAGCCATCCGTTGTTTATAATACTTTTTATTTTATTATTTTTGCGATTAATTGACGATTAAAATTCATTTTTGAAGTAAATTAAAAAATTACATACAGAACTCTCGAGTTTTGTCACTAAATCACTTAGACTTATTGACATTTAAAATATTACACAAAAAATTCCTTGAGTTTTGGACGGACACAACACTTAGACCTTTGTCGATACTAAATGAAAATTCATTAATAAATTATATCTAAATCCCTTAAAGTTTGTAGATATATAAACCCTTAAGTATATTAAATTTAAAATATTACACTTAGACCACTTATTAGTTACAGAACTAACAAAATCTATTAAACCACCAAATTATCATAATTAAATATAGAAAATATTGTATCCATTATAGTTTAATCACTTGTTCGATTTTTTTATTTTATTTCAATAGATAGTATAATTGTATATTAATAATAAATATTTAAGATATATAAACACTGAAAATTGAGTTTGTACCTACGTATCACTTATTTTTTTAGTTTTATATATTGTGTCAAAAAACTAAATAAGGGGTCAAACTGTAATAGACACAATATCTTATATTTTTGATTGAGATAATTTATAAATTCTATTAGTTTCATAACTAATAATGGGTCTAAGTATAATATTTCAAATTTGAGTAAGTTAAGTATTACACGTCTATAAACGTTTACGGGGCTAGGCTGTAATTTACTAATAGATATATTAACGTACATCGATGACAAGGGTCTAAGTGATACACGAATACAAACTTCACGAGGTTTGTATGTAATATTTTAAATGTCATAAATTTTAGTGATTAAGTGACAAATTTTTAAAAAAAAATTGTACACATCAACTAATATTATTTACAATATAGTAAAAGACATATCATTTATACCGATATTAAAGTATTAATTAATGATAAATCTTTCATATCTCAACTCTAAAGAGTTGTCAAAATTTAAAATCAATATGTCTAATTTTTTTATCAAAAAAAATGTCTAAATTTGCCTCCCATTCCTCTTACCCATTGAATTATTTCATTGAATTTCAATTCTTTCATTTTTTTTGTGAATGTGGTGATTTTTTTTTTTTTTTG